ATCCATGTCTATCTTTACTATATTATATATATATATATATATGTACATCATTCGTTAATCAAATATGACCTTTAGATCCTTATGGAACGACCCTTAACTTTCTCTGCCTTGAAAGGGAAATAGAATGTTATCATGAAATGATCAACGGAAGCCCATGATCACTGAAACAATTCAGAACTTTAAAAAAAATAAATTATAAATTGAATGCAGAAGTAAAATAATAGTATTAAAGTTTACATTTTTTACATAATAATTCAGAATACCTAATAGGGTTATGAAAATGATCCTTATAAAAGAATAACAAAAAATTAAAAAAATAAATGAAAAGTAAACAACTGAAATTCTATTCGCAACACTCTTATAGATCGGGATCTGGATTTTGATCATTTTTATCTGAAATGATTAATAAAAGAGTTAGATACACTAATTCAATCAGAATATCACACTATTCACCGATACAGAAATGAATGTTGGTAAAAATCATGAAAACAACTAATAGAATTCTTAATTTAAATTAATTCATTTATTATAAGTAAAATTATTTATTATACACTTACCGTAGTAAAATTTTCAAAACTGACCTATAAAGATAATAACACAAACAATATCATAATCTCATATTCAATTAAGTAGAACAACAACTTTCCATTTTTATCTACCTATTAGTATCAAAGGGGGTTTATAGGGATGTCCCCATTACGCGTGAACTCTTATTTAACATTTTCAAGTAACTGGTCGTCTCTATACCCCATCCGGTATGAGTGCCAAAAATACAATCTCTCAATACTCCGTCCGGTATTAGGGTGAAACAGGCTGTCCCCATACCACATTTAGTATGAGCGCCAAAATACCAATTCTGGATACTCCATTCGGTATTGAGGCAACGTTCACAGTAGGTTTCTCTATGCACCAAATCCGTCTATCATCTCCCAAGATATCCAGTAAGGCTACTATTCATTTATTCACTTGATCAAATAATTTTTCGTTTACATTTAATTTCCAGTTTCACAATTTAACTATAAATCACGCAAAACAAGTAATACATACATTAAGAAAATACCACTGAATCATCATATTAACTCTAATGTAATATTATTTATTTAAAACAGTAAAATCAATCAAACATGATCAATAGTGAATAATAACCGGTTTCAGCTCCATTAGTAATCTGTGATTAATTATCGAGATTTTCTGAATTGTACAAAATACCACATTATTTATAATTAAACTTCAATTCTATAACA